CTTTTGAATTGGATTAGCATGAACATTACCACATAAAAAACAGGTTTATAAGATCAAAAACAGCTTAGGGTAATGTTTCTAGTCCAATTCCAGCCTTAAAAGTCGAAAATATGTTGTCAGGGGGTCCAACTCGTCGAGTGCATGAACCAACTCGACGAGTTGGATGAATTTCTTCATGGAATCGGTGAGTCCATCAGTGGACTCGGCGAGTCCAGTGCCCAGACAGCCAACATTTTCGATTTTTCAGCCCTTTCAGCAAGTATAACATGAAAACAAGCATTGGCTCTGATACCACTGTTGGGTTTTGGTATAATACAACATCCTATGGTGCACATACAATCCTAAATACCATGGATCTATGTTTTCACTAATTACACATGCAAATGGTTTCCAAGGTATTGAACCTATAGCTAGCATGCAATTGTCATACAAACTACATAAAATACTAGATAGTGTAACATACCTTTTTGTGTGGCTGGAAGTCTTGATGCATTTGGCCTTAAGAGTTTAGCCCCAATAGTGTGGAAGCCTCAAATGAAGTCACAACACATCAAGGACAAAGGTAGGACTTGAGAGAGAATCTCCATGCACTCTAAAACCTTCATGAACTCCAAGAACATGCACACACACTAGTGGTTGCCTTTTTTTGGTCATAACATATGTATTTATATGTGTTGAATTCTAAGAGTCATGGGTATAACCCAAACCCATACCCATGGGTTTTATGATCCATGGTTCATGTGGCCCAACTCTTTATGTATCCATACATAAACTTGGTCCAACATGGATCATAAGCCCAACACATATAAATATAACTAATTACCATAATTAGTCCCCGTAGTTTTAATTAGTCTCTTTTGATCACTAAATCAATTCCAAATTAATTCTTTATCAATACTAATTAAAACATATGATTTCATATTAATATATTAGAACTTATAATATATTAATAAATACCTCTTCTCTCAAAAGTCCATCCTAACAAATTGTTCTGATGATATGCAACCCAAATGGACCATGCTACTCTTCGGTCGAATACATACCAATAATAGTTATGGGCTTAGACACCTAATCCAACACACACAACTCACTTGAAGTTTCTCTCAAGAACTCACAACAACAACCTCTTATTTCCTCTCAAAAATTTCGAGAATCATAAGAGCTTCAAGGAGGATTTCATCCAAAAATCACTTCAAGTTATATTCTAGTGGTAAGATCTTACAAACATACTTTCTTTATACACTCATTCACCCCTCTTACAACCTTAATCTCTTGATCATACTCCATAGAACTCATCAAAGTTTGAAGGTCCCTTCAAGAAGCTTGCTAAGGCCGAAAACCACACCATCTTCTTCCATTTCTTCTTCAAAACCGAAACCACAAACCCAAGGTGAGTTCATACCCCCTTGTTTTCGGTTTTTACTTGTTTTTGGGGGGATAATACAAGTATTATATGTTGATCTATGTGTGTTTGCATGTTATATGTGATTTCTTTGGTTTGTGTTGTGAAAATATGATATTATTTGCTATATCTCGAAATCTATGGCTAAAGTGTGAAGGATACATAAACAAAAACATAATAAACAACATATTTCAAAGATCTAAGAATCTTTATGTTTAAGAAGTGAAAAACAAGGCCAAAGATTTTCATAAGTGTCATTTTTGCAAAAATAACAAAGATTTGGTTAAAAGATGACATTTTCGGTTTTTACAAGAATAATATGGTATATATCTATATAAAATATGATTTTTATGGAAATAATACTTCTCAAAGGACCAAAAACATAACTTTTTGCTTATTAGGCTTATATTTGGGCCCCAACGGTTTTTGGGCCCAAATTTGCGAAAAAATTGAAGATTGGGGCTTAAATTGTAAATTTATCAAAGTACAAAATCAAATACGTGAATGAATTAAATTCAGGGGCTGAAAATGACCTTTTTCGCTAAATTGGACTAATAATGCAAAGTTTTTAGATTTTGGGCCAAAAGTGTAAAACTTACGGCAAATGGGCCAAAAATGTAAATTTCTAGCAAATAAGGGCTGAAAATGTCAAAGGTGGTATTTTTGGGCTGAAATTATAAATTAAGATTTTGTTTGGGCCGAAAATGCCAAGTTAAATAATCTAATGTCATTTTTCATCAAAAAGGACAAAAAATGTCATTTTGTACCATAAAGGGGCTGAAAATGTAAATTTTATATGAAAAAGTGACTGAAAGGGTCAAATAAACATTTTGAGCCACATATAAATTCTAAACAATTTGATCAAAGATATAAATTTTTACAACAAGAATGTCTAAAAATGGTATTTTTATAAAAACTAAAAATATCGTTATAAACCAACATTGAGTATTTTAACGTCAAAAGTAAACACTAAGTGTATACCAAATCATATACTACAACTTAACGACAAAACAGATAAACCATTCAAGGGTTGGGCCCAATATTTCCTATTCGTGCTTATTGAGCCTTTGTGGCCCAATTATACGATTATTGGGCCCAATATAATCAAAACATGTATATTAGGCCTTGGTGACCCAATTACATGCCCAACGGGCCTTTATCGGCTTCGACATGCTATTGGGCCTTAGTGGCCCATTTGCATTGCTAATATGGTCCTAAACATTCATCATATGCTTAATGGGCTATAACGTGCCCGTAGCATGGTCGACAGCCGTTAATAACATACAAAAGTAGTGGGCCTCCTTTGTCCTCTTTCTTGTCTGTTAGGCTTACCTTATATTCACGTAAACATAAATCGGGTTGTAAAACAATGTTATTCAATTTCATTTGGGATTTAGTGAGAAATAACGGGTGGGACCAATAAGTGTCGGTCGTAGCCTGTAGTTATAATCAGAGTCTCCTGGAAGGAGAGCGAGAGTTTGTGTATATATCTATACGGGGGTGACTCCCACACACCTGAGCTGTTCGCTATAGTTAGACTCGGCCAGTCTAGGATGACAAAATCTTGATCAAAACCGGCGTTTGGAAAAATGCCAAGACAGGCGATGTAACGACCCAAATTCTTACGGTTAGCGTAGTTAGTTTTCCGTTATGTAGGGTTAAGCGTTATGTGTGTGTATGGTACGAGATTATATGTTTAGTGTATAATAAAATAAACAAATGGAGATTAACTAGGATTTTAAAGATTTAATTGAAATTTGAAAGATTTATAGGATCTACTTAATAATTAAAATAAATTAACGGTTTATTTGATATTTGAAATATCACAAGGCATAAATTGTCTTTGGAGGAAACGACTTTGGGGTAGATTGTGAACAAGTATCATAATTTAGGGACCAAATTTGTAAATTGATCTAATAAAAGCTATAAAATAAAACTACTAGATAAACGTATGCAGCTCCATCCAGCTTCATGCGATTAATTAGGAACGGTTAAACCCTTCGTTTTTCCTACGTTTCATCGTTCCATTCTCTTGACAATAATTAGGATGCCGACTCCCATCCGTAACTACCCATCCATACACTCACTATACAAACTTGCTAATTGTGAAACGGATAGATCAAGATCAAGAGAAGAGAAATGAAAGAGAGGAAACAGGGAGAACGAGAGTCAAAAGAGAGACGATTTGGTGAAGAAGAAAAGAACCAGACTTATCTGTTGAAGTTGCTTTCCCATCCTTGGACAGTCATTACATCCTTGAACCATGTGAGCATGCGATCTATAGGAGGTTTCAGTGGAGTCTCTTCGACGAGATCTGGAGATCTTCTGAGAAGCTCGGTGAAGACCTTGCTGAGTCATTAAAAAGGTTCCAAGGAGGGAATAAGATTCGATGACAAGGTTCGGATGAGATTACAGATCAGTAATGACGGAGGTCACAGTCGTGAATACCAAGAGGTAATATGAAAGTTCGATGTGATTTCCACTGCAATTTCAGAATATTGATCCATCTGATTTGTTATATGTGAACGAAGAGACGATTGCCGCACGACATATTTTGGTGGCATTGGCTACGAATGCCAATATAATACATGTTACGGTTAAGATGAGAAGCAATCGAAGGCTCTAAGCTTGACTACTCGCGTTTATCTTGTGGCTGAAATAATGTGTACGCCTGTTGGGCAGGACATGATTTTATGATGAAAGGGGCTGCACGTTTATAATAAGATTATCAGGAGACAGTTAAACTAAAGTTTGGAATCTGAATAAAAGACCCGGTTCAAACATGCAGAATGAAGAATGACTTCAAATGTTCAATACATGTCTGAAAGTAAAAATTAATGCTGGTGCATGCGAATATGCATGAGTGTTGCGATTCCTTTTCAAATAGAAGTATGGAGCTTTCGTGGTGAGATCAAGCTAATTAAGATAATGGAGTGGTCATGGGCAGGTATCATACGTATCCACTTTAATTAGATTGAGAGTTAGATTTATATCACACATAATACTAATAATAATATTTTATACCAAATGGGAAGTTTACGAATTTACAATAATTTTTATTGATAACATTACGTTATGATTAATTCTTAGTAAATACGCTTACATGGAATTTCACGGTTGGAATTATAACACTAAAAAAAATATGCCAAATAGTGACCAAAACGAAATGGTCACTAAAAATAGAATGAGTCGTCACTAAATGATTTAGTGACCAAAATTTCGGTCTGTCACTTTTCGTCACTATAGGTCCGTCACAAACCGATTTAGTGACCAAATATAAATATGGTCACTAAACAGTGACTAAAATATAGTCAGTCGCCAAATCTATGACGACCCGCTTCGTCACTAATGTTGTCACTAATCAATGAAAGTCGTCACTATTTTATCTACTTAGTGACCAATAAAAGTCGTCACTGTTTTATCCGATTAGTGACCATAGAAAGTGGTCACTGGTTTATCTAATTAGTGACTATAACAAGTCGTCACTGATTTAGCCTTTTAGACAAAAAAAAAGGGTCAATAATTAAGAAATTATTGAAATATTAAATGTCATTTTTAAAATGAAATATAATAATATCCAATTAGACAAAAGAAAAAGGCAAATGTTATAAATGTTTATAATACAACAACAATAACCAAATAAATCTTCATATAAGAACGGATGATTTCCCACCTAAATTATACATGGAATTATAGAGCTGCTAACACCACAAAAGCAAAATAGAAGTAATCAAATGAAAAGTTCCATTTGTTGGGCATCCTTATGGAATACTTTTCAGACTCCTACAAAATACAATGATAAAATGGTCATTTACCAAATAGAATGGTCAAATGGTCATTCATTAAATAGAAGGGTAAAATGTTCATGTACTCAAAGGAGAGTAGGATATTGTTTCTTTTGTTGGTAAGCATTGTTTCTAAATAGAAGGGTAAAATGATCATTTGCTCAAACAAGAGTAAGATACTATTTCTTTTGTGAGTAAGCATTGTTTCTAAATAGAAGGGTTTAAACGGTCATTTAATCTAACAAAAGTAAGATATTGTTTCCTTGTTAGCAAGCATTGTTTTTAAATAGAAGGGTAAAATGATCATTGACCAAAGAGAAGGGTAAAATGACCATTTACTCAAGCAAGAGTCAGATACTACTTCTTTGTTAACAAGCATCATTTCTAAATAGACGGGTAAAATGGTCATTTACTTCGATTCAGATAGTTTATTTTGGTTCTGGATACCCATACACGACTTAATGGGAAAAAATTCCGGTAAGCTATCTATATTTACTTAATACAAAAAGTCAAGGAAAAGAAAAGGGTAAAATGGTCATATTATATGGTAGTAGGAATGGAGGGTTGTTACCTTCATATCAGGCAATGCATTATAGATCATAGCAATTTCTCTTGAGATGCCAGTTGGATATAACACAAGAAAGGTGCTATACCTACACTCACACAACCAAAAGTTACAATTTTTATAAAAGAGAGTAGAAAAATAATGAGAAATAAATTCTTGAACCTAGTTGACCAAAGAATGAAGGTCAAACCTGAGTCATAAAAGCCAGTATGGAGTAGAACCAAATGCCTCTTTTGTCCCAAAGAAATAGTATCTAATAATCTAATTATCAACACCATAAATAATATATGGTTACAAAATAATGAAATCATTTATTTTTTTCTTCCATTTCTTCAAGCTCAAATATTTTTTTACCTCAGTGATACTCCAACTAATGACCAAAGAGCTAACAATAGGATGTGTTTGAACCTGTCACAATCAAGTTTTTTTTATCTCAGTAAAACTGTAATAAAACTGAAAATTATTAACTAAAAGGAAGAAAGCTCTAACCTCAGGAAAACTATAAAGGATTCCCCACACTACATACAATCTTGAACTTATTTGAGGCAATGTTGCTGAAATTGGGAGTGGACACAAAATTTGTGATTCTTCTGAGAGGGAGGCGGAGTTTTGATGTGGAAGGAACTAATGGAGGTCTTTTTTCCGATATTGTAGTCAGTCACCTAAAACCACAAAATAAATAAATAATAATAATAATCAGTAATTGTTCTTTAATGTTGTTATTATTTCTTGATTTACCTTTTCTTGTAGAGTTCTACATATGTGTTCTCTTGCAGAAAGACGGAGTTGAAGAGACTGAATATGCAACTTTTTGGTTTCTTTCTCATCATGTTTTGCTTTCTCAACCTATTTTTTTAACAAAATAAACAACAGATAATTAATTTAACTATATAAGAAAACAATATAATAAATAAATGAAAGTAGTTTGCTAATTAATTACCAGCTGTTTGTACTTGAATATCTCAGTGACATCGGTTTGTTTTCTAGCTGGGCCATATTCAACACCTCTCACTCTGCGTGCAAAATTCAGGGAACAAATTGTTTCTCCCAAATCCGATGAAAATCAATGTCTTACAATCACCTCCTACAAGAAAATATCAATCTACTTTTACTAATTTATTTATTGTAGTATAGTAATTTTATCACAAAATTATGTACAAAGAAAGCTCACCTAGAGAGCTCTGAAGAATATGGGTAAGCTTTGAGTTCCTGATTTGGTCAAAAAGAAGATTGAAATAAGAAAAAAACAATAAAAAAATAAATAATCCAAGATGGGGTAGATGAGAGACATACCTGTAAGGAATGTGAGAAGTCTTTGATGCAAGAGCTGAAATCACATCTCCTAAAGCTGAAAGTGATTTATTTATGAATTGGGATTCCTTCAATCTTCCCCACACGTTCACTTCCCACCAAATCAAATAACCACGAACTGTCCATTCACCAAATTCTCCCCACGAACTGTCACTCTCAATAAGCTACACAACAACATTTTCCATAAAGATTCCACCTTGATTTTATATTCACAACTACAATGCTATAACTGAATACACACACACACACACACTTACCAGTGAGATTGGCTACTTAGCTCATTGGCATTGGTAGATCCAACAGATCTGACATGACTCCCGCTTTTGAGCAGTTCCCATACTTCATATGTCTTGTACACAGGCACCTCAGAGAGAGTCCAGGAACTTCTTGTGTTCCTTCAGCTGATTGCTTAATTTCCAACCTGGATTTGTATGTTTATGAATAGATGTAGAAAACTAAGTAAGATGGTGTATATCAAGATTCAAGAAAGCTTACATTTGTTTCCTACTTCCATATTCAGAATCATTAGGAAACAAGAATATTTTTAACACATGTATCCCTTAATACCTGCCCTCCATACATGAAAACTTCATTAAGACATTAACTTCCAATTTCCTTTGTGATACTTGTAAATTGCTGATTCTGATGATTTATTCCATAAACAAACACTCCACGGAGCCAAGTCTAGGGTTTCGATATCACAAAAGAGAAGTATACCCTATTTGACCTCCTTAGAAAAGCAATCACGAAATTAAATAATATAAAATGCTGGAGAATATAATTGAGCTAATTAATTACCATTGAGTGTACATATCCAGAACAACGGTCTTATCACCGGCGGCATTAACGATTGGCCAAAATGTATCCTTATCAACCTCGGTAACCTGACCTACAACGACCGTTGGACCGGACATCTCCAAGCTCGATCTCACCTTCACCGAAGACCTCAAGTTTTTTATGGTTTTACTATCGATCGACTTGGTTGAAGCAACGGATCGGTGAACGTCTCTGCCGATGGTAAACTGTTTAGTCGGCCATGATGACAGTGATCCAGTTGACGGCGGCGGCGGAATCGGCCGGCAAACATGATGAATTTGTAACGCCATTGTAGCGATGGACGGCGGTTATCTCGGAGTATCCGAATGCTTGGAAGGAGATGTGATGGAGCGACGATGGACTGGCGGCGATGGACCGGCGACAATGGTCCGACGACGATGGGTCGGCGCGATGTTGTCAAACTGGAGATTGTTGTGTATCAATTTAGGGCAAAAGAGATGTGTTGAGTCGATTTAGGGCATAGTACTCGTTATTGGTAGTCAAAATTAGTCAACCTTGTTTATCCTCCTTACTAAACCAATTAATCGTTTTTACAAAAATTATCTGTATAAGTATAATTTGGTCAAAATTAGTAAAGTCTCCTTATTTAGTCAAAATATAAATACAACGGACTTTTTCAAATGTGTTTTCCTTTTTATTTTTTCAACCTTTTCCAAATATTATTATAGTAATATGTTTGATAAGGACCGGTCAATAATGTAACCAGTCTTTGCGAAATTATGTATAAAAAGAAAATAAAGCTGTAGTTATTTTCAAAAATAAAAAATATTAATTAAAAATATTTTAGTTTTTATTAATTGAAAATTAATATATATATATATATATATATATATATATATATATATATATATATCAAGGTTGTAAAAATCGTTCGACGGTACTTCGACGGTCGACTGGTGTTAAGGGATTAATCGGTCTTGGCGGGGATTAATCGGGAACCATAGATTATTAATAAAATATTAAAATTAATTAAATATTAATATATCTTAAGAAAAACAAGTACTTCAAAATTAGAAAATAAGAAAAATTGTAATTTGGAAATTTGGAAATACGAAAATATGAACATTTTGGTATAATATTCGAAATTTTGAAAATTTGAAAATTTTGGAGTGAAAAAAAAAAATTGGTTTTTTGAATTTTTTTTGAATTTTTTTAAAATTTTTTTGACATTTTTTGACATTTTTTTTGACTTTTTTCGACTTTTTTGACTTTTGTTGAGTTTTGTTGACCGATTAATCCCGCCAAGGCCGATTAATCCCGCCAACCCCAATTAATCCTAAATTTCCGATTAATGTCCTAATCCTCGACGGTTGGAGAACGCCAAGCGATTAATCCACGATTAATCGCCGATTAATCCCGATTTCTGCAACCATGATATATATATATATAGTTAGTGACCACTACTTTATGGTCGCTAATTGTTTTTTTTCTTATAATTCCTCAGTGACCACTATTGGGTGGTCACTAATTATTTTTCCCCATTTAAAAGAGTAGACGTGTAGTTTTAAATAAGAGTAGTTGTGACCATTATTTTTGGTCACTAAACCTCCAATACAGTGACCACTTTTTTTGTCACTAAGCTTCTAACATATTGACCATTATTCTTACTCACTATATAGTTAACATAGTGACAATTATTTTTAGTCACTAAATAGTTGTTATGATATGAAACAAAAGTAGTTTAATTTTTTCGGGTTATAGTGACCGAGTTAGTGACCACCACATATAATTCGTCATTAAATTTGTAGGATTACCAAAATTCAGTGACCACTTAATTTTTAGTGACTAAAAGATGCTTTCAGTGACCAAATTTTAGGTCGTCACTAAAAATTAGTCACTAATAAGGACTTTTCTTGTAGTGTAATTAGTGGTATATATTTTAGTGTTTTAATAAGATTAGTTTAATCATATGATGAAAATTAAAGTGTTAGCACTTAAATTAATAATATAACTATGATTGTGTTTAGGTTCTTCTTTTTGACGTCTAAAGAAGATTACAAAGTGACAGATATAGTACATATTGTTGAAATCGAATGTGAGTCAATAGATTTTTCATAAACCTTGTACATAGTCGAAAACTACTTCCCGGAAATGGCTCGATTAGTCAAATTAGAATATTACTAATTGTTGATTATGCCACTATGTGCAATATGAGATATGTCATTGTTTTGCCTTCTGTTACATTTATATGCTTAGTAAATTTGGTAGATATGCCTATCTTGGTACATGATACGATTAATTGCAACTATGATATGCTATATGAAATGCTTGCTATATGACTATGATCTTTTTTAGTATCTTCTTGGTATAAAAGTTATGAATCTTGATTATGATAATACGAATATTGCATGCTTGTACTTGATTTACGATTGATTATGCGGGGTTATGCATAGAGGGCAAGGGTAGAACCTAGCACTTAGCATGAAACGCTATCCGGATACCTTCGAGCCTAGTTGGTTGACAAATACCTTCTAGGAAAAGAGCTTAATCCAATTAAAGAGTTGCTCGGTCTTTCTAGATGCCCGTGTGACACATGGTACACGAACACTTTGGTGTTCATGGACTGGAGTGATGTTGGCCATTCGATCGAGGTCGGATCAAGCATCACGTGGGATTCGGGAGGTGTATCGTGAAATTGGCACCGTTTGAACCAATCCTAAACGACATCGCAGGCCCTCGTGTCTTGCAGGTCGGAGTAGCGAAAGTGGAAGTCTTGGGGTCGGTGTTAAGGGTGGGAGTCGCGAACCACCTAAAGCATTTGACTGGCCAGGCACACAAGTAGTGAACGGGTTTTTCCCTTGGGGTTAGGTATTACTATGAGACTACCTATGCCTATACGATTATGATATATACCTTTGATATGATGCTATACAATTATGATATGATTATACATGACATATGATCGATGTTACACAAATGAATGAAATGTGAATGGAGATACAATATTGAATGATTGAATGATATTTGAAAGATGATTGATTAAGGGTTGATATGCGAATCTTGTGTATATGCTTATAATTTGAATGATTGACACGTAAGGGGATGGTATGTTTTCCCTTTGATTGTGTACAAACCCCTATTGGCTCACGAAGCATTTCCTGACACTTGTTTTCTTTTCTTTGTGCCTCTATGATTGGTACAGGTAGCTTAAGAGCTTGACTTGGTGAGATGGGGTCACTTTTTGGGTAGTTTATCCTTAGAATAAAGATGCCACTTGGACATGTTATTTACTTTTTGATACCAATGCTTCCGCTACAATTAAATACTTTTGATATTTTGGTTTTGAATTGAACGTAACGTTGTGGTTTGAAATTGTTTTGAACTAAACAATGTTTACAGTCTTCCGCTGCATTTCCGTTAAAAGGTTTTTTTTTTTTTTAAATTTGAGTAAAAAAAATCATGACGTTACAGGCGAATTAGTCATTATTATGCATGGTTATAACGACTCACATAGAGATCCATTACCATCTAAGTATTCATGGGAAATCATATTCATACACTGTGACGATGCAAAGTGATTATACAATAATACAAAACTATCATACTATTTAAATCGGAAAACATCGGGTTTTCTGGGGAACGACATTATTCACTTCTACTGACAACGACTATAATACAAGGAACAATTATGAAATGCATTTCACTTTTACATGTTTTGAAATCACATACACGTATACTTATGGATCATCACACCTTTTTCATAAACAGTTTTTTGTTACAGAAAATATCGGATTTTCTGGGTTTTACAAACAATACAAACTATTTTTATATCAAACCTATGAACTCACCAACATTATATATGTTGACCGTTTTCAAAATAACTTGTATTCTCAGGTAACCGTTAGAATGAAGAATTATCAAGCGTGTTTCTGAAATGTCTTTTGTGTAATTTCAATCGATAAACAATTTATGTTTTGGATTATGTAATGTAAACAATGTACTTGATGTGAACAATGTCAGTTGTAATGTATTAATGCATGGTGATGCTTATGTTATGTTTCATGTATATTCATTGTGATGATATTTCAATTTAAGTTACACGAGCCCTCGGACGTTTCCGCCGTCTGGTTCGGGGGTGTGACAGGATGGTATCAGAGCTTTATTTATAGTGAACTGGCATATCTAACCACACATTGATATGCAACTATAAACCCAAAAAGGGACTAAATAACTCTGAACAAAACAAATAAAAAATATATAATAATAAACACTCTTACTTGTGCAACTTAGAAAAAATAAACATAATAACAATTCAAATAAGACATTGGGAAGAATCATGACATCTCGGTTAAACCAGGACTGTTCACAGTTGTGTTAGGGATGAATGTAGCCTGATCAACTACATTTCCTTCATAGTACAACTATCACATGCCCTGGAGCGATCGCGATGGTCAGTAGACCTAAGGCATACCCTTTTGATACCCAAGAGGAGAACATCAAACCAATTATAATAACAACTAAAATATTTTAGGAATAATAATGGTTTATTTATATACCCTCATGCAGACAGTATGGTTGGCTTCCATCTTCCTGGAGATCCATATTTCCCTAATCAGGGGAATAACAGATGGCTTGAAGAGGAACCCGAAGAGGAACCTGAAGAGGAGTCTGAGGACGAACCCGAGGAGGAACAAGAGGATGGGATCGAAGACGGACCTGAGGAGCCTGTGGCGAACTCTGGAGGGGAGGAACCTAGCGACAATAGTGACGATGACTCGGACGCAGAGTCCATAGTCATCAACCCACCATTTCCAGTTAGGGTGCCATCACATCGGATGAGACCTAATGGCTTTACACCCCCATTGGGAGTTGAGATTTGGAGATGGAGTAGGCAGCAAGGTCAGCGACCCCCGTACGGCATAGCGAGGGAATTCTATGACCTGAGGGATGGAGGACCGGCAGACCGAACACTTCTTGTTGTGGTAAGACGATTGAGGGATACCGACAACCTAGCTCAGAACACTGCTGACAACATGCATCAGATGCGAGAGAGAGTTGCAAGGGTCGAGCAGGAAACGCATGAGGTTATCTGGGAATTCCACATAAGACAGGATATGTGGGAGGCCCAACTTCGAGACACAGAGCGATAGGTGGCTCGACTCCAGGTAGCATCCACATCTACAACACCACCCCCCGATGCATCTCGTCGTGATTAGGACCAACTTTACCAACTACCAGTGTTACTATGTTCTCTTATGTTTACCATGTTATGTGCTACCGACTCTATGTTTAAGTGATTACACTACTCATAGAGTCATTATGCTGTCAAACCTTGTACCCTTATGTATGCCCTTTCGGGCAAATTTTCATGTATCAAAGTGCGGATATTATTAGTGGAAAATATTATGTGTTTTATCGTGATGTTGTTATCTGCTATGGAACCACTTAGATGCACAATCGATTCACGGAATTCCCAACTTAAATGCAATGCGTACTCAACATCTTTCTGT